ATGGCCGAATTGTCAGTGGCGATTCGCCAGATCCGACGAGCTGACCCGGCACTACCGAAAGCACACCGGGGCCAAACCGTTCAAGTGTCGTATGTGTGAACGGTGTTTCGCCCGGTCCGACCATTTGGCGCTGCACATGCGACGTCATCAGCCGAAGAGCCGCATCTCCAGACACCTGAGCTTACCGGCCAATCGTAGTGCCGGAGCCGTTCAGCACACGCCCATTCAGCACACGAAATCCGACCCTACGGCTTACGTCCAGAGCGGTCGCCAAATGCCACCTTACACGGCCGTGTTCACCGAAGCCGCCGACAGCAGCCCAATGTTCGGTTGATCGAGTCGGTCGGTCGCGCTCCCGGCGTTGAGTTGCGCGTTGCGTACCTCGTTTGTTTTCGCTACACTTGCCAATAACAGTTTTTGCCTCAGATTCATTGTGCGTGCCTTACATTTTCCAGTCAGCCGTCGACGTGATTTCTATTTTTTGCATCTGTTGGGGTACGAAATTGATTAGTTGATCTTTTGATGAGAATAAAAATTGTTTATTTCTCGATTAACTGTGTCATAAATTATCATTTATGCGCGCTCATGGAGATCTGTCCCCCCCCCGCGACCAACAGAAGAGGTCGGTCGGTTTTCAGTCGTTTGCCCATGTCAACGCTTATGCACTTGTTTTGAAAACGCTTCTTTACGTGACTTTAAATTGGGATATTCACTGCAGTGTCAGAGAGAGGACGCGTTTTTTAGTCTGGGAATAGAAATTCTTCATTGACATGGTGATGGTATTGATAAATAGTAGGAAACTCAGTTTCATAATTTCCACACCGTCTGTTGATGCCACCTGTTCTCAGAAGAAAATAATGTCATTTCATATGTAGCCCTGGTATTTAGCCTCATTGTTCTTCAAAACTACATTCGCTACGAGAACTCTCTCCGTAAGTATAGCAACATTGACCTGACCGAGACGAGATATCAGCGGATTTTTGTCAAAGGACTTATTCCGTTAGCCCAGATGCTTACAGGCTACCAAAAGCACTCTGAAACTGTGTAAAGGCACATTTTTGAGTCAAAAGGAAAAGGCAGAATCATAAGGAATTTGTGGGATGGGAAATAATTCTGTCACTAGTTCATCAAGCAGACGTTAACTAAAATTACTCTTGTGTAGTCAGAAATGTCGATATATTGATGATGAGTAAGAAAAGGCAAACATTCTCCCTTTGGCAAAAGCCAGTTCGGTTTTGACGTTTCTTCTCCCTCGTTATCACTCTCTTCATTCGCTTTAAAGAATTGCATGTGGCTTAGGATGAGTTATTCGGATCTCAGGAATGTGGCGAAAAATTTTCTGATCGACAACAGGTCCTCATTCAGCTTCCCTACCATATAGCGCTGGCCACCAGTCTTCTGTCGTTCAGTGAGGACTGATCGATTGCCAAGAATATCTTCTGACCCGATGAAGACAGTCCCAAAGAACGACAACACTTTTGATGTTGTCTTGCGGACGGCCACAAAAACTATTTTGTTTTTGTTGGCGGAAGTTGACTTCGACCATGTCTGACAACGGATCTGGCAGCCAGATGCGGGCAGTTTCGTCTTCAGATCTGCTCATAAGTAAATAGTTGTTGACAAAGGCGAGACTTATTCGTAATGGACGTTCGATGAGGCGCTGAGTGGCTTTTTTCTACGGCTTGTTCGAGTCGCACGCCCCACCGTATGGTTGTTATAATTCTTTTCGACATGTGCGTAACACAATGAACTTTTTACGGTGTCGCTCGCTAATCTGATTGTTTCTCTTCCATTAGCGCTTCCATCGGCCGAAGCCTTTTTACAGCTCGTTAAGTCGTTGTTTCGTAACATTTATACTGACTTAATTCAGTTCGAAAAGGGCTTCGCTTATGAAACATTTTTGCCACGCTTCTAACCGTCTATTCTTCTTCATCCCTTATTAATTCAATTTATTAAAATTGAATGATGATTTTTAAATAACAATAACGATTTTAATAACAATTCATGTGAATCATTTCAACCGACCAAACAGATGGAACATACACGCTATTTTAAATTGGATTTTAAATTTATGTATACTTCCACGACGGAAGAAGATATTTAATTTTATTTATTTACGGCTCACGTTACAGTCAGCGTCCAGCTGGGTTTACTGAACCTAATACAGTTAAATGCACTGTAGCAGCCAGCTGAGCGGGCCTGCTGGTTGGACGTTGGAGGTATGTCTCAATCTTACAAGTTTACATTCCATTCAAAATTACGTCACAGACACTGTCCGACAAACGTTACGTCCTCAACAACAGATTGACTCTTTTATACATATTCTTCGAACTCTAGAGCTAATCCGCATTTCCCACCAGCACATTTCCACTTGGCGCGGTCTTGGGGGCCGGTCCACTCCATCGGTCATCTGAAAATGATACCACGAGAAATGTCTTCGCCTTCCACGGGAAGACGTCTATCATCGGAAGGTATGAACGAAACGTTCATAACTGAGTTGCACCATCCATCAGTTGGGCCCAAAGTGTCAGCGTTTATTACGTAATGGCTCATTGAGCCACAAATTTCAACAAAGCCTGCAGAAACTGTTATAATGACGGACAGGTGATTGAATAGGAGATCGGCTTTACGTTTATTGGTCATGGAGGTCGTTACGTCAAATCCTTAGGACTTCATAAGGCATTATTAATAAGTGCCAAGTGCAGACTGAGGCCAGAGTCTTCGGAATGCGAAGTTCTTCTTTCGAAGCTTGTGCCAGAGGACGTTAAGGTTATGAAAATTTATTAGGAGGATGTGCGATATGCCAGGCAATTCAGCAGTCGTGAATTCATGATCTCAACTATGGAATTTACGAAGTTTGTGTCCTAGAAAAGTTATGAAGGCCTGAACTGCTTTTGGCATACAGCAGCAAAATCTGTGGAAAATCGCTGTTAGCGCATCAACAAAATTCAATATGCTTCTGAGTGACACCCTGCAGAAAAATCCCGTCCCTTTTTAAATGCCGTCTAATCTAATTGATGCAGATTTGCCTAGTTCTTAAGGCATCAAGTAGGACCATGACAATCAAAGGATGGGGCGGGACCAGATGTGGAGCGTTTCAGTAAGGAATCAATTAAATATTTGGCATACCCGTTCTTTGACAACTGTTTATGAAAGAAACATGATAACTTCACCTTGAATTCCTTATACAAGAGAATTGTCAGAAAAACAAGATAAATTTTTCTTCACTCTTGGGACTTTAAGCCGACACGTTTGCACTGCATAGCAAACCATTGACCCGTTGCGTAAATGTCGCCTTCGAGTAAACATTGAAGGCCGTAGTGGAGGCTATTTCCATCATTCATACCTCTGCTTATTATTTACGGATGGTTAGACGCCAGTGAACGGAAGGGAGAAGAAATTTGCAAAGGTAAAAAGCGAATGACTGAGAAGGGCGTGTGCCAAGTCGCAGTGGGAGTGGTTGAACGGAATCGCTGAAAGGGAAAAGGGTAAATCAGCATAATTTTCATAATGCACTAATGCGATTAAAAAATCTGTTGACTGGTCCGGGTTTACAACGCTCTGGCTATGTTACCTGTTAACTGACAAAAAGGAACACAGCTTTACTTTATTCTTCCTTGTCTGTGTTTTCAACATCTCTGATCCGTCGTCTAGAAAGAAACACTGTCATCTGTCCTAAGGACTGCTGCTTTAACCTTAAGCCAAACGCCAGTTAGTGCCAAAGCCGGCAAAACCATGCTGACACGATGGCCAAGCTGATCTTTAGCTATACGGCCGATTCACAAAGTACAAATGAATACTGTAAGATTCTATGATTGCTGAATTGTTAGTCTCTATCGCCATTATGCGGCTGTTGTACGCGATCTGGTGGCTAAATTGCAATATCCTGCCTTCTGGCAAAACGACGTCACACATACTGTGGTACTTCTGTTCTCACTGGCTTCAGAGTAGTTTGTGAATGGCGACAGAGTACAGGAAATGAATTGCCTCAACATGCGAGTCGTAGTCCTGGCCATCAGTATATCAGATGTCACCTCAACATTCAGGAGTACTCACCAACTGTGGTAAAGGTGCAGGGAACCTTTTGAACAGACCACAGTCCATGGAATTTAAGTACCTGTAGTACATGGCTGCAATATGGCATCACCAAATTGGAAACTGGCCCAAAAAATCGAGCGCATTCGAAAGAACATCGTCTAGAATGCCACAGTTTGTTGACTCTCAAACACACGAAAGACCGTCCTAGTACTCTGGGGTAACTGCCTGCAATGGTTATTGAAAGGCTTCTGTATAAACGATTGCTTAGATAGTGACAAAAAGGGGACGGTGCGAATGCGCCTGAAAATCCGGTGAGAGGCATGAGATTGTTTTTGCTAGGGTTATCGAAAATTGTTATTGCGGACAGTTGCCCAAGAATATGAACCCCATTCAGCATATATATAAATGCGAATAGATAGAAGAAATGGCAACGGGTGTTTGAGTGCGTTTCCTTGGGGCCAATTTGCTGATGCTGCATTGCGTCGATGCAGCACATATGCATAAATTCCGTGAAATCGTTGCCTGCTTAAGCCGTTCTCTAGGCAGCTAGAACAACAAATGCAATAGACTTTATACCCCGCATTGACTGTTATACCAAAAATTTTGCTGTCCGCCTGGTCAAATGGAAAGAGAGTCTTTGGACAGCAGGACCGTGCCTGTTGTTCATTCTGGTATGACTACACTGGAATACACAATGCTTACAGATCAGTGCATGTTGCCAGTTTCTAGGCCAGTCGGACCGAAGCAGCAAAGGGTAAGTTCCTCGCTCATTGAAAGTTAAGCGGTTAAAAGAATCATTTTTCTTTATTCAGACTCGAATGCGATTTCTGACCATTGTGCCACTGAGCAAAAAACTTAGGCAAGGTGGCGGTCCGAATGTGCCGTCCAACTTTAGCGAATCGATAGGACATCGTCATCAGTGCCAGAATGTGCCATCGAAGCGATCGTCAAAACAGTTCTTCATGACAATCTTCATTTTGCAGAATAATTCAGACATGCAAGTGAGAACAAAGATTTTTTACTCGCAAGACACAAGAACCTGTCGATATATCATGGCATGAGGGAACGGAGTGGACTTTTAATCCCCTGCAATTGAATCATTCTGGATTCGCAGTTTATCCAAATCTGTACATTTGGTCTGAGGATGAAGTCTGTCATTATCAAATATGTTTTGTTTCTCTCAAGCGCCGTTCCATATCTGACAACCCCTATTCGCAACAAGTATTCAAAAAAAGGTAGCACAAGGGCGTTCACGAAATTTTTTTCGAACTTCTCCTGATCTTGGAACTTTCAATG